GGACATTGTTTCATTCTGCTGTGCATGGGGTCGCTATGAGTCGGTTCCGACTCGATGGCACCTGACAACAACAACAACACGCTACCAGTGCTCCTTCCTCTCATAAGTTGTTGTTGTTATGTGCCGTGGAGTCGGTTCCAACTCATAGCTACCCTGTACAGGGTTTCAGAGGCTGTAAATCTTTACGGAAGCAGAACGCCTCATCTTTCTTCCGCGGAACAGCTGGTAGTTTTGAACTGCTGACCTTGCGGTTCGCAGCCTGATTCGTAACCACTACGCTACCAGAGCTCCTTCCCCTCATCAGTAGACCTTGCTAAATTGAGCTTCAGTTTGAGTTCTAGATTATAGCATTTAGAGCCTGGATTAAAGAAAAGAACCTTGTAATTGTCATCGACACAAGAAAAGACAACCTATCTGTTTTTAAATAGAAACAGCCTTGTCCTGGCGTCATCCTCGCCTGATGGCTGTTAAGTTAAACTGTGTCTTCCTTCTAGAAGATTAAAAGGGTTGAGAACATAAGAGAAACTTTTCTTAGTCTTTAATTAAACACCAGCTTAGGCCGCATCTGACCATCTGAACCAGAATAATTGCTGAAAATAAGAAAACAAAACATTTGCTTCTCTGGATGGGTCAACTGTTGGTTTTTTTCAATTAAATCACACAGTTCTGGTTTGGCCTCCTTAGTTTTCTTCCTCCCCACCATCTCTGTGTGGAGTCCTGGTATGGTGCTGTAGGATAATGCACTGGACCACAAAGACAGTTTGAACCTCAAGGTCAGTGGTTCAAACTCACCAGCTGCTCCTCGGAAACCCAATACAGGATTTCTATGACTCAGAACTGACTCGACAGCACTTAACAACAACCACCATTTGTGTGTGGGTTTAAAATTATGGGGCCCATGGTTAAAAGTATAACCAGTTAGAACAGTAGATGCAAAAGCCAACTAGCTCTTCTTTTTACCAGTTAAGCAATAATTTATGATAGTCATGTTTGCCATCGCCCATTCTTACCTGTTGTCTTCCCAAGGTACTCACCTAGGTAAGTATACCGCCTGTTCATGATGACTTCATCATTCAGTTTGAAATTGGTGTTGTCTGTAAGGTTCAGCACTTTGACCGTCCCAGCCCAATAAAACGACCCTGGGGCACCCATCACCACCAGCTCCTGCCAAAGAGAAATCCAGGTTACAGGCAAGAAAGCATAGGGCGGCAATAAGACCATGGTTGAAGCATGGGCAGAACTTAGAATTAAATGAAAAATATCTCACACCAAGGACTTTTTTCAGCTGAGCAATAAAAATGAAAAAGTCTTGACAAGCTTCTCTGACACTATGGACTCTATTGTACAGATGTGAAAACACTGAGCAAGGTGACAGAATCCATCGCTTGTTAGATCCCAGTTCTACCCACAGCTGCACATACAAGGAAGGGCATCACAAAATTCATGGAAAAAGAGAATGAAAAGACAGCGAAATTTCCCCACAAACTTTCTGAAGCCCTCTCTTATTTCCACCAGGCTCAAATGAGGAAATGGAAAACACCTGACATTATCCTAAATCACAGAATTCTTTGGAACTGTGCTCATGAAAGAACCCTGGTGGTGCAGTGGTTAAAATATGCTGCAGCTAACCAAGGTTGGCGGTTCAAACCCAGTGACTGTTCTGTGGGAGAACAATGTGTCCATTTGCTTCTGTAAAGATTTACAGACTTGTAAACCCTACAGGACAGTTCTATTCTGACCTATAGGGTCGCTATGAGTTGGAACCATCTCAGTGGCAGAGGGTTTAAGTGCTCATGAAAAGACAGTAACTCCTAACTTAACCTGGACTCCAGCCCCACTGCTCAGCAGTTCTGTCTGCCTGAAACGTAGCATGAGGAGCGCAGTATCAAAATTCTCTTCTGCAAAACCTTTGCTCTCACAATGGAATGCATACGAAGGCATGAATGAACCTTGAAAATACTGAGTGAAATAGGCCAGACACCATTGGACAAATACTGTTATGATCCCAATTACATGATATATCTAGAATAGGCAACTCCAGAGAGACAAAAAGTAAGTTAGAAGTTACCAGGGACTAGTAATGGGTGGTGGTGGTGGTGGCTGTGTGCCTTGGAGTCGGTTCTGACTCATAGCAACCCTATATAGGGTTTCTAAGGCTGTAAAGCTTCAACTTACTCCCACGGAATGGCTGGTAGTTTCAAACTGCTGACCTTGAGGTTAGCGGTCTGAATAGTAACCACTACGCTATCAGAGCTCCTTCCAGTAATGGGAGTGACAGCTTAATGCACACAGATTTCTTTTGGGGTGATGGAATGTTTTTGGAAACAGATAGTGGAGAGGCTGAATGACACTGTAAATGCAATTAATGCAGTGTATTTTACACTTAAAAATGGTTCAAATACTACTACTACCAACCTGTCTGGAGTCCTGGAGTGGCACTGTCGAATACGCACTGGACCGTAAGGTCAGCAGTTCAAACTTACCAGCCACCCCTTGGAAACTCTTAACAGGGTTGCTATCGAGTCACAACCAACTCAACGGCACTTAACAACAACAACCAATCTTAGTAATCAGGGCCACGATAGTTGGACCCAGAAACAATGGAAGAAAAATATAGAATAGAACCTTAAATTCCTTTTTTTGTTATATAAAACCAACAGATCTACTGCACTGGACAACTGAAGGATTCACTAAGACTATTTCCCTGAGATACTCTTCAAACCTTGAACCAAAACTAACCCTGGAGGCCACCGTGCAGGTAAATATTAAATTAACTCAAAAAAACAATACCAATTGCAAATACTGTTCTCCTAAAATATATATATATAT